TGTTCCATATAGGAGTAATGCTTTCTCTATATCACTCCCATAAATCTACATACTGGACTTGGCTTTATTGTTTCAATGTTGTCTTATTTGTAGAGTCTTTTATATTTTACTGAACCCTTTTATATAAACACAGAACTTCTCTCTCCTATTATTGCTATTGTTTCTCTTACTGTTAACTCATGTACAATTGGGAAATTAAGGCACAGCACATACACTCACAAAAAATGATCTGAGAACCTTCCCATTTAAAATTCACCTTAATTTACAGAGCACTAAAGAAGTTTGAACAAAATGTACTCATGAATAAAGTATTCATAAGCAATTTAAATTTCATATTTTCTCTTTACTAAGTTGTCTCTGAAACACGTGTTACCTCATGTCTAAATGTGTCCTTGTGCTATTTCAGTGAAGTCAGAAAACATTCATTTTATCTCTAGCAGCACCATAGATTGTTACTGGAATTAAGTGGAAGTAACTGTTACTAGATGTGGAAATTGATCTCAGGAGAGGAATTGAACATAGAGGAATGACAAAGTTCAAGTTAACATTTGCTTTCCTTTTTACTGTACAAGGAAAGAATTCAATGTTTGAAGGAAACTTTCTCCCTGACATTTTTGAGTGTGTTCTTTACTCATATAAAACTTGTCTGTAAACTTGTAGTTGAGAATATTACAGAAGGAAACAATATGCCATTTGAAGGCCAGCATAGAACAAAAGGAAATAACTTTGTTTTAAAAATGTTCTACTGCAAAGAAACAAAGATATGGAGGTTTTGAAGTGTCTTATGGATGGATTTTTCACTCCTGAGATGATTCTCTTGTTGCAGGAGTCAGTTATCAATTCGTTTAGTCTGGTCCTGAATTTTCCATAGCAATAAAGATTTCAAAAACGCAGGATCCAGTGAGTATGATCAGCAAAACCAGCCTCTTCTCAGACCACTTTAAGGAGAGTCCCAAAGAAATACCTAGGGTTTGTGTTGTTTGCTTGTTTGTTTACTTTGTGCTGTTTCTGGGGCTTGAACTCAGAGGCTGGACCCTGTCCCTGAACAGTTGTCTTTCTTTCCCACCTGCCCACAACTGCTTGAGCCAAAACTTCACTTCTGGTTTTTTGGTGTTTAATTACAGATAAGAGTTTGACAGACTCTCATACCTGGTTGGCTTTGAACTAAGACAGTAAGAAAGCTAAGTGACATCAGCTGGATGGACTTCTCTTTTGAACCAAGAAATATTAGATGAAGTTTACTATACAGCTAATATTTGACAATTTTTAAAGAAGAGAATATGTTCAGCAAAGAAGCCATAACTTAAATAACTCAGCGAAAGTACGTGCACTGACTCCATTGGGAAGATTACTATTTACTTCATCATTCCTTTGGGGGAAATTTAAACCCATATTTGCACTTTTTTGTTGATTGTGTGTATGGAACACTGATTCTGGGCACTGTCTCTCAGCTCTTCAGCTCATCTAGAATGCTCTACAACTTTAGCTACAGCACCACTTCTGGGTTTCTGGTGGCTAAATGAAGATAAGTGTTTCATGGACTTTCCTGACCAGGCTGGATTTGAAACACAATCCTCTGGTTTCAACCTCCTGAGTAGCTAGGATTACAGGCATGAGCCACGAGCACCAGGCTTATATTTGCATTTATGTGCACTGAATGACACTGTGTAGACAAAGAATGGAAATTTTAACCAAATGATGACATTGCAGCTTTTTAGAAAAATTGAGATAGCAGTAAATATGTCCTCCTTTTCCATTTTGTTTCATTAATGACTCATGAGCTATGGGACTTTTACATTAGCATCCTGTGACGTCTGTATAGGTGTAGTTAATATCAGTAAAGGTTTATAGACAAATATAGAAAGACAGATGTTTAGAAAGCAAGGAGATCAGGTATGAAAGAACAGCATAGAAGGAGATACATTTATCTAGCCTAAGAGGTTTAGAATGCTAAAGGCAATGAGGAATAAGCCTAGTTGATAACTAGTTCTTCAATAACCAAAAATGGTTCCCTAGAACTGTTTCTGTTATACCTTAGTTACTATCATTTCTTTCCTTCCATCTGCAGTTATTCTTTCTCTTCTGTCACAACTGTTAATTAGCCTCTGCCTTTTTGGTGCTATAACTGTCCAAAATGATTTCCAAATCTCACTTAGACTACCCTTATCATTGTGATTAGCAGAGACCCCACTCAAAAGCCTGGAATCTTTGAATTTCCAGAATTAATCTTCACCTGACATCTAAGCACGTTCCTGGCATTAATTGCCATGACCTAATGAACAAAACTTTTTTTTCAACACAGTATCCTAACATAGGTAAAGTACATGAATTAGGGACTATTGTCAAGTATCAGTATGGAAGGAACAATTATATATTCCAAGTTTGGGTTCTTTATTTTGTATTTACTAACTAAATGTTCATTGTTGTTGTTTTGGCAGTCCTGGGGCTGAAACTCAGGGCTTGGGAATTATTCCTCAATTTTTTTTTTTCTCTCAATTCTAACCCTCTACCACTAGAGGCACAGGACCACTTCCAGTGTTTCTTTTTCAGTTTATGTGTTACTGAGGAATTGAACCCAGGGTCTCCTGCATGCTTAGGCAATCATTTTACCGTGAAGTCCCATTCCCAGAACCCTAAATGACTCTCTTAAGATGGCATTACATTTTCATTCTGTAACTATGTATCATAATTTTAGCCAGAAATTTTTGCTAGAAAAGGGCATTGATCCCAGTACTGAATCCAGTAAGGCTAGATGGACAATGAATAACTGTCACGGTCTAGCCAGGGCACAGAGGGCCTCATGGAGCTGGTACAACAGCCTGAACGAGACAGCTCATGACCCACAGCCCACCTCCAGAATGAGAGGGCCACCTTGGTACCAACCACGTTGGGGATGCTGGGCCACCTCCTCCAGCACCCATTCAATCAGTTCCTGAGAGAGAGAGAAAAAAGGAAAGAAGGTCAGAATTACACTTAAGCCAGGTTCCTGTGGCTCAGGCCTATAATACTAAGTACAATGGAGGCTGAGATATGAGGATTGTGGTTTATAGCCAACCCGGGCAGGAACACCTGTAAGACTCTTATTTCCAAAGAACCACAAAAAAACTGGAAGTGGAGCTGTGACTCAAGTGGTAGAGTGCTAGGTTTGAGCTGAGGATCTCAGGGAGCTGGCCCAGGCCCAGAGTTCAAGCCCCACAACTGAAAAGAAGTGGACTTCTCACCACAAGAAGTAGATTGAATAACACCCATTGTCCTAGGGAGCATGGCAGGGATGTCAGGCCCAGCTTCCTGTCAGCTGGGAGTCATGAGTAGGTCACTCAGCTTCTCTGTGCCTCAGTTTCCCCAGCTTCAAAACTGAACAAAGTGAAGGATCCCGTTCTTCATGGGGATTGGGTATTAAAGAGAGTCATGTTTTGTTTCATAATCCTATACCAGTCACAACATTAATAACACCCACCATCTGAGATCTTTCCAGGTATATTCCTGTCATATTCTCACAGAACTGCCAAAAACCATATCTGACAGCCCCTCCCTCTGTGCCTGGCCCTGCTCCAGAGATCCCTCTGTATTAATCCCTTGTTTCTTCACAACTGTCCCATGAGGAGATTGAGGTCCAATGGTTGAGACCCAACCCAGAGCTTCACCTGTGGTCAAAAATGGGCTGCCGTGGTCTGAGTTTGGGACAATCCATCTAAACTACTGACTGAGCATGGTTCTACATGTCTACCATTCCAACTACAGAAGACAGGGCCCTGTGGCTCATGCCTGTCACAGACAGGAGGACTGTGATCCACCCCAGTCTGAGCATATATTAATTCTCCATCTCAGAAATGCCCAAGACAGAAAAGCTGGTAGAAGATCTGACTGGCAAGCCTAAGGCCTTGAAGTCAAATCCTAATATACCAAAAAGAACCAGAGTCCCAGTGCCAGAGGCTCATGCCTTTAATCCTAGGTACTCAGGAGGTTGAGATCTGAAGATAACAGCTCAAGATTTAAAATTGGGTTGGCCTCGCCCATCAGAGGTCATGATGAGAAGACCCAGAATCTGACCTATGCTGTTGCACTCCATACTAGCAGGACTCATATCTTTACTAAGAGTGGCATGCTCTCTGTCCTCTGGAAAGCCATCCCCTGCAGGCTGCACTCCTAGGTCCTCCCAAGCTCCCACTGCCACCAACCAGGCCCAAGGGCATACGCAGCTCCAGGGCACACAGATCCCTTATTCTTGTAATTTAACAGTGCTGTGTCCCCTTCAAGCATCTCACCCTTCTAGGCTCCCAGACCTCAACTATGAAGCCCATGCATTCCCCAAAAATAGCAGGTAGAAAGTTACCAAAACATTCAGCCTCCTTGTTACAACCCACTTCTTCTACACACACACACACACACACACACACACACACACACACACACACACATCCAGACCGGTGACAGAAGACTCATCCATGGGGTACCTGCAATTTGCCAACTGATGACACACCTGAGCACAGTCAGGCTGTACAAGGAGAAAGATGATCTCTCTCTTTGTCTCTCTGTCTCTGTCTCTGTGTCTTCAAGTGAAAGGACAACTGAGCACAGAAAACAAGGGTTCACACAGCAAGGGGGATCGATCTTCTGCATCCAACGCCTCCGATCCCCAGAAAAAGGAAAAAGACCGCAGAAGGCAGGTGTGTACATGCTGCTCCCCACCTCTGACTAAAACCACCAGGTTCCCACCAGGGAAAGGAAAGGTGCAGATGTGCGGCTGTGTGGCTCCCATTGCTCCAGGCCAGGGGCTCTGTGGCGTCCACTCCTCACGTAACCCTGCATCTCCCCATTTCCTCTGACACTAGATGCTGGGGATGGGGATGGGATCCTGGGTCAACACCCACCTCCACCCCTGAGGCATATTTATGGCAGGGCGTGGCCCAGACTGTGGGGCACAGAGTAGGTGTGGGTCCTGGTCGGGAGGGGGGGTTATATGGGGACGCAGGGAGCGGGCCTATGTGGCCACCACGCACATGTGCTGCAGGCAAAATCTGTTGGCAGCTGCTCCATGTGGGGCAAACAGCAATGGCAGTGGTATGGCAGACATCAGGCCCAGAGCAGAGGACAAGGAGGCCAGGACCAGGTCAGGCCCACAAGCTGGCTGGTGGCGCACCATTGCACCATTGCCTGAGGAATCCAAGAGGCAACCTGGGTTTGAGCCAGCAGCACCAGGTTTGAAATGCTGTGCCACGGGGAAGGTGAGAAGGGGGCCAGAGCACAGGCAGGCACATGGTAGGCCTGAGCAAGGCCTCTCCTCCTAGGCCTCGAGTCTCTTGCTCATCACTCAGCCACCTCTACCTTCCTCAACTGCTGGTAGTGGTGTCAACCAACAGAGGGAATCCCAGTGCTACTGGGCAGCATGGAATGTGGACATGGCCAGCATTCTTGTATCCCATTGGTCAGAAAGAACCATGAAAGAATGGAGGTGTGGCCAGAATCTTGTGATGCAGGCAGAATGGGCAGAGTCAAGATGATGGCAGCCCCTTTCCCAGGGAACTCTGTGCAATCCAGTTGGGGACAAGAAGATGACCTGCTTTATCTGGATGGCTGCACAGATTGTTGTGTATGTCTATTTGTTCCCAGTCCCAGACCTTGAACTCAGGATCTAGGCACAGTCTGTGAGCTGCTTTTGATCAAGGCTAATCCTCTACCAATGGAGCCACATGGCTTTACTTCTGGTTTTGTTGGCACAAGTTGGGCAGGAGTCTCAAAGACTTTCCTGCCTAGGGTGACTTTGACCATGATCCTCCTATCACAGCCTTGTAAGTATCAAGGAGGACTGCTGGGAGACACTGGTGCCTGCCTAATCATTGGTCTTACTGATGTATTTGGACAGATCTGTGAGTTCCCTATCCTCAGGTTTAAGTCGTAGGAGCTGGAGCCCACAGTTGGAATCCTGGTCCTGCCACCTCCAAATGGCAGGAGATCCTTAGAAACTCATTACTATTCATATGATTACCAATGGAATGTGATGTATGTCATGATTAAATGGGCAGTTCTTGAATGATTCAAGGTTAAAATTATACACAATTATATTATAGGACACTGGTCGATTTTAATTAATACTTTATGAAGCATTTAAACAATCACATTCATTAAATGGAGCCCAAATGAAATACCTAAGAGTTGAGCATCACAAAGCTTGGAGATGCCATTTTTTCTGCCAGCACTGGGATTTGAACTCTTGGTCTGGGTAACACTTGTTGCACTGTGTGGGAAGGGGAAGCTTGCCTCCTTGAATTCAAGAAATTCAGGTTTGTTCCTTAGGCCTGAAATCAATGCCCACCACTAGAAAACATCCTATTTGTGTGCATTTTAAGTATATGATTTATATTTATATACATATGTTGCATTCAGTGTAGTTATTCATTTTATTTTTTGTTTTATTCATGTATTGACTGATCATTTTATTGACTATTATGACACATAGAACAGTGCTTACATTGATTACATAGGATATAGGTTTGTATATATATTGGACTTCATACCTGACACCCAAGACTTTCACAGAAAAGGAAAACATGTGTCATCATCAGCTTGTTACTCCACGATTCATTGTTTGGGAATGCTGGCATCTGAATCACAGCCTGCAAGACCCAATTCATGAATGGGTGAGTGTCAGCATGCCATCTTGTGGCAAATTCAGCTGACAGGCAGTTCCCAGTACCTGAGATCGAGCCACAGCGGTTGACAAAATAAGAACAGACTGACATGCAGATGGTAGTACTCTAATAAATAAATATCTCTATAGAGTGCTAGACATGCCTATACATTATTTAGTTATATAGACTACATTCCTACTAATTCTTGGGTACTTATTATGCCTCCATGTAATTACTGTCGTTTTCATTCTTAACAAAATATTAATTAAATCAATCAATATCTGAAATTATTGCATTCCTGTAAATAATAGTATTCTTTTAATGCTTCATACATAATAAATAAAATCAGTCTCCTGAAATGATGGGTCTGATTTTATAGGAGCTTCATTCTGATCAACTAATTCAACTGTGACACTGATAGGATTACCTTGTTATTCCCATGGATGGGAATGAGTCTCTTAGTATCGCCTGTCATTGATTGGTGTCAGGATGGGGATTCAAAATCAGGGCCTACATTGCCTATGGCTTCCCCAATAGTCTGCCAACCTTCAGCAATGCAAGGTGAAGTACCCTTTGCAACAGTGTCATTCAGACCCAAGAGGGTAAACATGCAAAGGAAGAAAACATAAAAAGGCCATCTCACCGCATTTTTCTGTATATTTTTGCCACACAAGGCCTGGGGGTCTAGGATCCAAGGATCTGCTGTGCGTCCAGTGGCTGCACCCCAGGACAGGATGATCGAAGCTGAAACAGAGTTGCCACAATCTGAGTTCAAGCCCCATGCTGAGCAAAAAAAATTAAAAGAAATTAGCTCCCTGGCTTGCAATTCATCCCATTTGTTCTGCCAGGCTTTGAATTTGATCTCAGGGTCTGGGTAAATCTGCAGCACTGTGTAAGAAGGGGAAGCTCACTGTACTTGAAGATAAGAAAATTAGGCCTGTACTCTAAGCAAAATTCAAGCTCCAGCTTTGGAAAACATACTATTTATATACATTGTAAAGACAAGATTTGTACTTACCTATGGATGCTCAGTCCATACACATTTGATGTGGTTGTTCCTTGTACTTTTTGTTTTATTCATTTTTTACCATTGATTTTACAGTTATGACACCCATTGCCTTTATTACATTGATGACATCCTATTACATGGGATCTAAATTTGTAGACGTGTTCTTCATCAAGCCTGACACCCAGGACTCTCGGAGAAAAGGAAAAAAGGTTTCACATTTGGCTTCTTACTCCATGATCCAATTGTTGATAGTGCTAGGATCTGAACTCAGGCCCAGGCAGGACCAATTGGCAAATAGTTCAAGGTGAACACACCAGCCTGTTTGTAACAAAGGAGTTAGGCCATTCTCAGGATCTGTCATTGATCCCCAGGGCGGGCCACGATAGTCATAAATTCATAATTTAAACATAGGATCTAAATTTACATATATGTGTGGACAGCATCTTGCGTTTGATGTACTTCTCCTTATTGTCTGTCTTATGGAAGTATTGTGCAATTTACTGAGTAAGGTGACAGATATAACTGTGCTTACATGAATGACAACCTATTGCCATGGCTATAGGGTTTCCTTAGCATTCTCCACCCTAGCTGAGACACAGGACTTTCACAGAAAAGGAAAAGAGGTGAAAAGATGGGCTTATCACATCAGGATTCATCTTTTGGCAGTGTTGGGATTTGAACTCAGAGCCTACATGCCCAATTGGGGAAAGGGTCAAGGGTCACCAGCCTGTGAACAACGAAGGAGATAGGCCCTTCCCAGGACCTGACATTGAGTACCAGGGAGGGCCAAATAGTAATTAATTCATAATTTAAACATAGGATCTATATTTACATACATGTGTGGACAACATCTTGCAAGTGGTGCACGCATTCTCCTTTTTTTTTTTTTAATTTTATTTTATTTTATTTGAGAACATACTGTACAGAGAGGTTACAATTACATGGGCAGGATAATGCATACATTTCTTACCAAGTATTGCATCCTCCTCCTTTGTTTACCCTTCAGCTCCCTTCCCACCCTCCCCACTCCCCCCCACCCAATCAAACCCCCCCTCCCCCTCCCACTCCGACATTGTAAAGCTGGTTTTGACATGACATTTTGTACTTCTCATTGTTGCAACAGGTCCACCTAAATCCTTAAACGACTTGTTTATCCCCGTCTCCTCCACATGTTATACTGACATCAAATATAGTGAAAGCAGGGGTTACACTGTGGGGGAGGGGCATACAAAGCAACAAAGAAATAATCTTATAAATTCGTTAGAAACACATGCATGAAAGAAACAAAAACATTAAAATACATATTTGAGGGTTCGTTTACCTAACATCACATTATCTGACTTTTTCCGCTTGACTCATACCTAAACTAGATATTGCAAATAAGGGAAACCATGGGACCTATGTTTCTTTGGGCCTGGCTTACTTCACTTAATATAATTTTTTCCAAGCCTTTCCATTTCCTAACAAATGGGGCAATGTCATTCTTTCTGATGGAGGCATAGAATTCCATTGTGTATATATACCACATTTTCTTGATCCATTCATCTACTGAGGGGCATCTGGGTTGGTTCCATATCTTAGCTATGGTAAATAATGCTGCAATAAACATAGTTGTGCTAGTAGCTTTAGTGTGGTCTTGTTTGTAAACATTAGGGTAAATGCCCAAAAGTGGGATTGCTGGGTCATAGGGGAGTTCTATGTGAAGTCTTTTGAGGAACCTCCATACTGCTTTCCAAAGTGGTTGAACAAGTTTACATTCCCACCAACAATGAAGTGAGGTTCCTTTCTGTCCACATCCCCTCCAGCATCTGTTGTTGTTAGAGTTCTTGATTTTTGCTATTCTAACTGGAGTGAGGTGGTATCTCAATGTTGTTTTGATTTGCATTTCTTTTATGGCTAGGAATGTTGAACATTTCTTCATGTGTCTATTGGCCATCCTTCTTTCTTCTTCAGAGAAGCTTCTCTTTAAGTCTTTCGCCCACTTACTTATTGGGCAGTTGTTTCTTTGAGGATTTGTTGTTGGGTGGTTTAATTTTTTGAGTTCCAAGTATATTTTAGAAATGAGACCCTTGTCCGTTGTATGGCTAGTAAAGATCTTCTCCCAATCCGTGGGCTTTCTATTGATCTTGCTAGCTATGTCATTTGCCCTGCAGAAGCTCTGCAACCTTATGCAATCCCATTTGTCCAACCTTTCTTTGATTTGTTGTGTTTCCGGGTCTCTATTCAGAAAATTTCGGCCTGAGCCAATGAGACCCAGGGTTTCTCCTATTCCATCCTGTAATGTTTTCAGAGTGTCTGCTTTGAGTTCAAGGTCTTTGATGCATTTGGAGTTTATTCTGGTGCAGGGTGATATATTAGGATCTAGCTTTAGTTTTCTGCATGTAGTTAACCAGTTTTGCCAGCACCATTTACTGAAGAGGCTGTCTGTCTTCCATTCTATTGTTTTAGCTCCCTTATCGAAGATTAGATGGCTATAGATCTGTACCTTCATTTCTGGGTTTTCAATTCTATTCCATTGGTCCTGAGGTCTGTTCTTATGCCAATACCAAGCTGTTTTGATTACTATGGCTTTATAGTAGAGTTTGAA